TGGAACAGCGCAGTCCCGCCGATGGGGCACACAGGGCTTTGGAGTTCTGAGGTACCCCGGACTCAGAGACAGGCTCGGGTGTCTACTCATCACCTGTGCTCCGTGATGTCCTTTCTGCCCTAGGCACTGAGGCGTGGTGACAGCGGACATCCTTGTCCCCCACCTCTGACCTTAGAATGGTAACCCCATGCCCTCCACAGGCTCCACCCCCGTGTCAGGAAGCCCTCTAGGGACAGCTATGTCACCTCTTCCAAGGACTTTCAAAATTCCTGCCCCGTTGGGACCAGCAGTTAGCTAATGGCTATGTCACTGGACTCTCATGTAGTCAACTGTGGTTCACATCCCGGACCCGGTGGCTTAAAACTCACGCTGGGCGCGTGTGCGTGCGTGCCCAAGATCCCGAGAGGAGAACGGAGGAGAAGGGATTGCGACGTGGCCATCCCCCCTGGGGGGTGATTTCTCGCTTTCTGTCTCTCTGTCTCTCTCTGTCTGTCTGGCGAGCACACGCGCCCTGTAGCAAAAACCTCTCAAAAAAAAAAAAAAAAAAGTTCCTGCCCCGTGAGCTCACAGGCCCTTCTGACGAATGTCCCGGCCTCACATCCGGTTCCCTGCACGTCCAATGCTCTGGCCTGTGAGGCCTGGACCTGGAGGGATGGCCACTTCTCTCAACTCCTCTGGCCTTAAGCGTCCACACCACACTGAGACATCTGTTAGGACACTTGGAAGCAGCTTTCCTGGGTTATGGCACCTGTCACAGTGCACCCCAACTTCTCGCAGTGGGAGGAGCCTGTGAGCAAGCCAGATTTCTCTTAATACCAGCATGTTATTGGAGAGAAATAAGGAGCTCATCATTGTTGCCATGACACAATGAAGGTCTGCTCGAAGTCCCTGCGAGATGGGTTAAAGGCCCTTCACCCTCAAGCCCATCAGCTGGCCGGCTCTCCCTAGGGGAGGCTTTGGAGAGCATTAAAATAAATCAGAAAATTGCTAGAGTAGGGATAGAGTTTATCTGTGATTAAATAAAGACGACTGTGAGACCAGCAGATGACACAATGTTTACATCGCTGGATTCACATGTAGTCGATCGTGGTTCAAGTCCTGGACCTGGCAGCTTAAAACTCACACCAGGTAGGTGTGTGTGTGTGTGTGTGTGTGTGTGTGCCGAAGATCCTGAGAGGAGAATGGAGAAGGGATTGCAGAGTGGCCATGCCTCCTGGGGGGTGATTTCTCACTTTCTGTCTCTATCTCACTGGTGAGCACACACATCCTATAGCAAAAATCTATACAGAAAAAGAAAGAAGGAAGAGAGAGAAAGAAAAGAGTAAGAAAGAAAGAACAAGAAAGAGAAAGACAACCTAACGAAAAGGGGACACTCTGATCTGAAGAAGCCATCGTTTTCCGTGGGACTCGACAATGTGTCTAAGAGCAGAGCGCCGAGCCGGCCGCCGCGACGTGCCGGTCGGCCGAGGACACTGGAGTCACTTCTCTGTGGTTACTGACACGAGGTTTGGTTTAAACTAGAACTCCCAGTTCCCATCTCCTTCCACCCCGTCAGTATCGGACAAACACACACCGACTCCTACCTGGTCCTAACCACGCCAAGCCAGGGCAGGTGAGACCGCGTTTGCACACGTGGTGCAATCAGACCGGACCCGCTGCCTGCCCCGAGGAAAGGACAGGTAAACACGGGAGTGGCGTGTCCGTGTTTGCCTCCGGTCCCAGCTAGTGGTTTCGCAGAGGACTCAGCTCTGCCTGCAGCACCGCTGCCTCCTGCCCTGTGCCTGGAGGGAGCCGTGTGCCCACGAGACATCCATTTCCTGGGATCCGGGGAGCAGGGAGGAGCACGCTCCTCTGAGTCCTGTCGAGCATCCCAGAGCGCCACGTTCTTCTCGTATGATGAAGACATTTCCGTGTCCAAGTCCTTGTCACTGCCCCGCAGCCCCAGGAGGCCTCGAACGGGTCATCCGGAGCTCTCTGTCTGTACACGGGACTCACTGGAGGAAAGTTCATCTCTTTCCAACACAGAGGCTTCATTTCGGAGTTTCCTCACTTGCCTGCCATGGGTTTAGACTCCAGGTAAATAAACAAAGTCCACCTCCCTCACCGTGCTTCCTTTTTCTAAAAATTGTCCCCTATGCAGGGCCCATGGGTGGCTTAATGACTATGCAGCTGGACACCCACATGGTCGACTGTGGTTCGGTCCCAGACCTGGCGGCTTGAAAATTCACCAGGTGTGCGTGCCCCAAATCCCAGGGAGACAATGGAGGAGAAGGGACTGGGCGTGGCCATCCCCTCTGGGGGAATTTCTCACTTTCTCTCTCACGGTCTCTCTCTTTCTGGTGAGCGCACACACCCAATGGCAAAAACCTTTAAAAACTGTACGTATGTAAGGTATACAAGCACTGTCATACACGTCCAGTGACATGGTTATGAGAGTTAAGCGAATGAACATGCCCGTCATGCCCCCGGTTACCCCTTTCCGTGTGTGTGTGAGTGTGAGAGTGTGTGTGTGACTGTTTCGGGGACTGCGGAGTGTGCAGTGTGATGCAGCGTCACTGAGCACCCTCCATCGCTGCTTGGTCCCCTGTGGTCTGCCTCCCCCGGTTTCCCAGCTTCCCCTCCCCTGCCATGCCTGGCAGGCACCGTTACATTCTCCACCTAGGCAGTCACGTTTGTCTCAGACCCACACGTAAGTGAGGCCAAGCAGCACCTGTCTCCCTGTGTCCAGCTTGTCTCACTGAGCCTCACGTCCTCCAGCCGCGGCCCTGTTGTGGTGTGTGGCAAGATGACTTTCCTTTTGAAGGCTGAATAATATTCCATTTATATATAAGAGGGCTTCAGAAAGTTTGTGTAAAGAAATGGAATTGAGGGAGCAGCAGTAAGCGTAATGGCTATGTCGCTGGACTCCCATGTAGTCGACCGCGGTTCGTGTCCTGGACCCAGTGGCTTAAAACTCATGCCGGGCACGTGTGCGTGCGTGCCCAAGATCCCAAGAGGAGAATGGAGGAGAAGGGATTGCGACGTGGCCATCCCCCCTGGGGGGGTGATTTCTCGTTTTCTGTCTCTCTGTTTCTCTCTGGCGAACACACGCGCCCTATAGCAAAAACCTCTCCAAAAAAAGAAATTAAAAAAAAAAAAAGAAAAGAAAAGAAATGGAATTGAAGGACCGGTTGTGTGGCCTAGTGGTTAAGGGAACCAGATCCCACATGGCCAGCT